AGGGAACGGATGGGTAGGATCCCCTGGGGGACTAACATGAAGGGGAAAGGAGTCCAGGAGAGCTGGCTGTATTCAAGGAATCCCTGTTGAGGTTACAGGGACAAACCATCCCGATGTGTCGAAAGAATAGTAAATATGGCAGGCGACCAGCTTGGCTTAACGGTGAAATCCTAGCGGATCTTAAGCATAAAAAAGAAGCTTACAAGAAGTGGAAGGTTGGACATATGACCAGGGAAGAGTATAAAAATATTGCTCGGGCATGTAGGAATGAAATTAGGAGGGCCAAATCGCACCTGGAGCTGCAGCTAGCGAGAGATATTAAAAGTAACAAGAAGGGTTTCTTCAGGTATGTTGGCAACAAGAAGAAAGCCAAGGAAAGTGTGGGCCCCTTAATAAATGAGGGAGGCAACCTAGTGACAGAGGATGCGGAAAAAGCTAATGTACTCAATGCTTTTTTTGCCTCTGTCTTCACGAACAAGGTCAGCTCCCAGACTGCTGCGCTGGGCATCACAACATGGGGAATAGATGGCCAGCCCTCTGTGGAGAAAGAGGTGGTTAGGGACTATTTAGAAAAGCTGGACGTGCACAAGTCCATGGGGCTGGACGAGTTGCATCTGAGAGTGCTAAAGGAACTGGCGGCTGTGATTGCAGAGCCATTGGCCATTATCTTTGAAAACTCGTGGCGAACGGGGGAAGTCCCGGATGACTGGAAAAAGGCTAATGTAGTGCCAATCTTTAAAAAAGGGAAGAAGGAGGATCCTGGGAACTACAGGCCAGTCAGCCTCACTTCAGTCCCCGGAAAAATCATGGAGCAGGTCCTCAAAGAATCAATCCTGAAGCACTTACATGAGAGGAAAGTGATCAGGAACAGTCAGCATGGATTCACCAAGGGAAGGTCATGCCTGACTAATCTAATCGCCTTCTATGATGAGATTACTGGTTCTGTGGATGAAGGGAAAGCAGTGGATGTATTGTATCTTGACTTTAGCAAAGCTTTTGACACGGTCTCCCACAGTATTCTTGTCAGCAAGTTAAAGAAGTATGGGCTGGATGAATGCACTATAAGGTGGGTAGAAAGTTGGCTAGATTGTCGGGCTCAACGGGTAGTGATCAACGGCTCCATGTCTAGTTGGCAGCCGGTGTCAAGTGGAGTGCCCCAGGGGTCGGTTCTGGGGCCGGTTTTGTTCAATATCTTCATAAATGATCTGGAGGATGGTGTGGATTGCACTCTCAGCAAATTTGCGGATGATACTAAACTGGGAGGAGTGGTAGATACGCTGGAGGGAAGGGATAGGATACAGAGGGACCTAGACAAATTGGAGGATTGGGCCAAAAGAAATCTGATGAGGTTCAATAAGGATAAGTGCAGGGTCCTGCACTTAGGACGGAAGAACCCAATGCACAGCTACAGACTAGGGACCGAATGGCTAGGCAGCAGTTCTGCGGAAAAGGACCTAGGGGTGACAGTGGACGAGAAGCTGGATATGAGTCAGCAGTGTGCCCTTGTTGCCAAGAAGGCCAATGGCCTGTTGGGATGTATAAGTAGGGGCATAGCGAGCAGATCGAGGGACGTGATCGTCCCCCTCTATTCGACATTGGTGAGGCCTCATCTGGAGTACTGTGTCCAGTTTTGGGCCCCACACTACAAGAAGGATGTGGATAAATTAGAAAGAGTCCAGCGAAGGGCAACAAAAATGATTAGGGGTCTGGAACACATGACTTATGAGGAGAGGCAGAGGGAACTGGGATTGTTTAGTCTGCAGAAGAGAAGAATGTGGGAGGATTTGATAGCTGCTTTCAACTACCTGAGAGGTGGTTCCAGAGAGGATGGTTCTAGACTATTCTCAGTGGTGGAAGAGGACAGGACAAGGAGTAATGGTCTCAAGTTGCAGTGGGGGAGGTTTAGATTGGATATTAGGAAAAACTTTTTCACTAGGAGGGTGGTGAAACACTGGAATGCGTTGCCTAGGGAGGTGGTGGAATCTCCTTCCTTAGAAGTTTTTAAGGTCAGGCTTGACAAAGCCCTGGCTGGGATGATTTAATTGGGGATGGGTCCTGCTTTTGAGCAGGGGGTTGGACTAGATGACCTACTGAGGTCCCTTCCAACCCTGATATTCTATGATTCTATGATTCACCTGCACATCTACCAATGTGATATATGCCATCATGTGCCAGCAATGCCCTGCTGCCATGTACATTGGTCAAACTGGACAGTCTCTACGTAAAAGAGTAAATGGACATAAATCAGATGTCAAGAATTATAACATTCATAAACCAGTAGGAGAACACTTCAATCTCTCTGGTCACGCGATTACAGACATGAAAGTCGTTATTTTACAACAAAAAAAACTTCAAATCCAGACTCCAGCGAGAAACTGCTGAATTGGAATTCATTTGCAAATTGGATACAATTAATTTAGGCTTGAATAGAGACTGGGAGTGGCTTAGTCATTATGCAAGGTAGCCTATTTCCCCTTGTTTTTTCCTACCCCCCCCCCCAAAAAGACGTTCTTGTTAAACCCTGGATTTGTGCTGGAAATGGCCCACCTTGATTATCATACACATTGTAAGGAGAGTGATCACTTTAGATAAGCTATTACCAGCAGGAGAGTGGGGTGGGAGGAGGTATTTTTTTCATGCTTTGTGTGTATATAATAAGATCTTCTAAACTTTCCACAGTATGCATCCGATGAAGTGAGCTGTAGCTCACGAAAGCTTATGCTCATACAAATTGGTTAGTCTCTAAGGTGCCACAAGTACTCCTTTTCTTTTTATAGTAAAACTTGTTCTGCTTTGCTATACCTTAACCAATCATTTTCCTGAAATTTAACTAACCAATCCTAACATATTGTAACATGATTATGTAACCAATTATATCTCACCACCTTAATTAGTTTACACCCAGCAAAATTAATTATACAGCAGACAGGAACAATCACAGAACCAGACAGAGATTATACAGACAAACAATAGCAAAGTGGGAACTATAAATGACAAAACAATACAGAAGTGTGGATTTCACATCCCAGCTATTGATAAGTGAGTTCTTGCCAGACAGGATGCTATCAAACGAAGTTTCCTTTTACATCTTCTAGGCACTTCCCTTTCTCTGGAGGTGACAGGCATTATCAGGACAGGATTGTATTCCTAACAGCCCAATAGCACCTTATTTCAATGTGCAAAAAGAAAAGGAGTACTTGTGGCACCTTAGAGACTAACCAATTTATTTGAGCATGAGCTTTCGTGAGCTACAGCTCACTTCATCGCTCACGAAAGCTCATGCTCAAATAAATTGGTTAGTCTCTAAGGTGCCACAAGTACTCCTTTTCTTTTTGCGAATACAGACTAACGCGGCTGTTACTCTGAAACCTGTCATTATTTCAATGTGACTAGTTTGGAATGTGAGGATGTGACCGGTCGCTTCCCAGCTTATGGCTGCCTCTGCTGCTTAGCCAAAGGCCTTAGCTTAAGAACAGGGCCTCAGACTGTCACAGTAAGAGAAGGACCTTACACCGGCAGACAGTGATTTTGATTCTTTCTTTTATACCTCTATAACTAGCCAAGTGATAAGAATACACCTAAATTCTTAGAATACAGGCCTTTACAGACAGGCCTGAATATCTATATTCTAACAGGGACATGCAGAGCTGCAGTGGCCAGAGAAAGAGGCGACTTTCCCCAGCTCCAGTGCTGTGGCTTCCGGGGCGAGATGGTCCTCCTTCCCAGCCCCAGCTCAGGGGCTGCCACAGCAGGGGAGAGACCCCCGTCCTTCCGTGGCCCAGCTCGGGGGCTGCCATGGCGGGGGAAAGAGGGCACATCCATTGCATTAGAAAGGTAAGACTACTGATATTAAAATATGAGTTGTGTGCTTTTATTTGTAGAACAAAAAACGTTAATTATTATAGGGGTTTTTTTATATAGTGCTTTTACCCAAAGTGCTTTACAATAGTGAGCTAACAGTACAAACAACATTTGGAAAGATCATTAAGTGGTCCACCGAGACCCTCAGCAATTTTCAAGTGGTCCACGAAAAAAAAAGTTTGAGAACCACTGCTCTTGGTGTTTGTGAGTCCAAGAGCAGAGCTTAGGCTAATAAGACTGTGACAGACATCTTTGAGTGAGAGGGTGGTTATGAACTTTGCCAGAGCCTCAAAATTATTTTGCCAGTCAGCCTCCATCCTCTCCACCTTGAGCTTAAACTGCCTGACTTTTGTCCAGGTAACTATCTCTGCAACACAGTAGGCAAGTAAGGAAGTAAGTCCAACTGGAGTCTGATTTAGAGACAGAACTGAATAGCCACACCATACTGATTACATCACTCTGTATCACCTCACAGTCCCTGTTCCCTTCCCCCGCCCCCCACCAGCATTTTCATGTAGATGGTGAAAAGGAAGGGGGAAAACCCAGACTGAAGCAAGCCTGTGGGAGCTGACAGCTGGAAAGCCTCAGCAAGGAAGAGCGGTCACCCACTGGGATCACTCCAAAAGAAACAAGATCACCTCTAAGGTGACTCCTTCAACTCCACCCAGGGCCTATAGATGTGTCAATATCACACGATGATCAATGGTATCAAAGGCTGCTGAAAAATCTCACAGAATTAGTCAAGACATCCCCTCTCTGTCTATTGCCACGAGGAGACTGTCAGCTATGGAGACCAACAGTGTCTATCTAGCATGCATGGTCTGGCCTGGAACATGAGCAAACTGGAGGATGTCAGATGCTGTTCATGTTGGACTCCCTCAGTGATCTTTCCTAGGCAGGCAAGGCCACAGATGAGTGATAACTGGCAAGGACATCATAAGATACCTATGGGGGCCATACAGAGGAGAGATCACCTTGGCACAGTGGCTGTATGGCCTATCTTGGCCTTATCCCAATGGTATACAAGTGCCTAGTGGTACAGGTAAACACCAGTTCTCCACATTTGAGTGTCCCCACCCCCTCTTTACACGCAAAGACATTGTTCTAATCAGGAATCTCTTGTTCTCCTATGGTTCTTAAAACACTATGAACTCCTAGGGGCTGAATAATAAAATGATTCCTTAATTATTCACAAAAGACATCAGGGCAAGGATATTAGATTCTGGAAAGCAATTGTAGGATTATGGAATGGAATGAGGCTGGTTCAATGGGACTGAAGAAACCCCACTTAGTCCTAGGGCTAGAAGTTGCATTCACAGACTTCCAATGCTACAGAAACAACCTGCAACCCTGGACAGCAGAGAACACCACTAAGCGCTTGGTGGTAAGGGGAGGGCAGCCATTCACCATCACTCTGCACTTCCAAGCCTGAGGATACCAGCCAGGAGCAGACACCATCCTCCTCATCACAGAGACTGGTAAGAGCTAGGACAGCCCCTGCAGAGATCAAGGAAGGGGAACCCTCCTAGCATAAGAAATAACCCCTGCTAAAGAACCCTGCCTGCCCTCCCGTAAGTGACTGAGAGGGACATGGAGAGCCCAGCCCAGCAGCTAGATGCTGACATCAGGAACTGGAACTAAGGCTGAGGCCAGGAGCATAGCTGAGTTCAAGGCAGGAGGAGGGCTAGGAACAAGCAGCCTCAGGAGTAGTCACAGCTCAGCTGAGGATAAATACAGCGTGAGCAGCTGCTGGGCTTAAGAGCCCATCTGCTGACATTTCCAACCAATCAGGCAGTGTAACCACTCATGCAGCCTACTATAGGCCAGCTGCACTCATTAGGTTGCCTAGAGGTTTGCTCTGCTTCAGGCCAGATTCCTGACAAACACTGGGTCCGCCTGCCCCCTCCCCCATGTAATTTCAGTAGGTGCAAGGGGGTTCTGAATCCAACACAAGCATTCTGTCTTATTAGGATATGTTTAACCTTCCGTCTATCTGCCAAAGGGCCCTGACCTGACAGGTCATCCAGAACACAAGCTATATTCTCTTTGGCCAGGTCAGGCCTCAGGAGTAGCTGGAGGGCAGCCTGTGCATCAAACAGTCCCAGCTCCATGGAAGTCACCTTGTCTGCTCCAGCCAGTGCAGTCATCGGGCAGTTTCTTCTGAAGATTCACATTGACTCTGGTACAGGTCACATCCCCTCCTACCAGTTGGGGGAGTTCATCCTGCTCTTTAATGCTTGGTGCCCAGGTATGTGGCTTGCCATTGGGTGGTTCTAACTTGTCTGTGCTGAGCCCTGGACAAACAAAAGGGATGTCTCTCCACCGAGGTACTTCTCAGTGACTTCAGCCAGCATGGACCTTCCCACAGGGTTTCCTGATCCCCTGTACAGCCCATCCAGTCCCAAGAGCCCACATCTCTTCCGGATGCTAACCCCAGAGAACAGTGTTCTGTGTTTGTACAGTGCCAAGCACGCGGTCAATGCTACCACACTCAAAACACAACAAGCAATTAATCCCAGTCTGAGGGAGGCTCTGACCCCTCTGACACAGGCAGAGACACAGCTAATAAACACGTCACCTGAGAGAGTTTAAAACCTAGTAGTGAATGTTTTTCCCTTTGAATGTGTCTGTATTCTCCTGGGGAAGGAACACTGTGCTAGTGCGACACAAACAGCCTCTCAGGGCCTTTAGAGCTATCCCAATTGCTTCTTCCCATGAGCCTCTCAGTGTGAGAGGAGTAGACAGTTCAGTGCCCTGGGATGCACATCCATTGGACCTGCTCCTTAATGTGGTAAGGACACATTTTAATAGTGCAGTGACTCCAGCATGGGAATGGAAAGCTTACCATTCCTAGCTCCCCATTAATGCTACTGTCAGAGTGAGTTCTGAAGAGCTTTGATACTAAAGAACTCATGATCTATGGAAGCAGCATTGGCAGAAAGAGAAAAGCCAGAAAGGAGGCAGTTTCTGTATTTTCACAGCTATGTTAAATGAAGGGGGGTGGGTAGCTCCCTTTTATGGACACCCAGCCAGCCAGTTAGCTATAAAACCCCTGTTAGGAGCTGTTCTCTAATTGCTTTACCTGTAAAGGGTTAACAAGCCCACAGGTAAAAAGAAAGGAGTGGGCACCTGACCAAAAGAGCCAATGGGAGGACTATAACTTTTTAAAATTGGGGAAAAAAGCTTCCCTGTGTCTGTGTATTGTTGTTCCCCAGGAAAGAGGGAGCAGTTATGCTGTAAGAAGCTTTAAGTCAAGTATGAAAAACCATCAATTCATACCTTGAACCTACTTATCTGAAATCCAAAATATATAAGCAGATCAGAAATGTCTAGAAAGATGCAATTAGGTTTTATTTTTTATTTTGTAAGGCTTGTGGACTCCTCTGTGCTAACCCCAGATGCTTTTGTTTTGTTTGTAACCTTTAAGCTGAACCCCAAGAGAGCTATCTGAATGCTTAATTTTTGTAACTGGGTTTTTTAAATCTAGCAAAAGCCTAAGTTCCAGATGTATTTTCTTTCTTTTTGTTTTTAATAAAATTTACCCTTTATTAAGAACAGGATTGGATTTTTGGTGTCCTAAGAGGTTTGTGCATGTGTTGTTTAATTAGCTGGAGGCAACAGCTAATTTCTTTTGTTTTCTTTCTCAGCTCTTCCCTGGAGGGGGGGTGAAAGGGCTTGAGGGTACCCCACAGGAAGGAATTCCCAAGTGCGTGGTGGCAGCATCGACCCATCCAAGGTCAGAGAGAAGCTGTGACCTTGGGAGTTTAATACCAGCCTGGAGTGGCCAGTATTAATTTTTAAAATCCTTGAGGGCCCCCATCTTATGCACTCGAAGTGCCAGAGTGAAGGATCAGCCTTGATAACAGCGTTTTGTGTTCCAATTTTTCAGCTGGTGATATGTATCTAGCAATTCCTGGAAGGCAGGAATATGTAATGAATGACTATGGCTTAATCTACCAGGGAAACAAGAACTGGATCCATCCCTATCCTTGGAACTATGGACAGGTAAACTGGGCCTTCCCAGCAGCCTCTTTGGGATGGAACCCATGTTCTTATCTGTTACAAGGACAAAACTTGTCGCCAGCTCCCCTTGCTAAATGAGGCTTGCTGCTCCAGCTCCTCACTTTGGGATCATTCGGCTCTGCCACTTGTGAGCACACATGCAGAGGCCCGGGGGTGGCCAGCTCTGGCTCCTGGAGTAATATGTGGCCTATAACTGCCCTTGTCTGTAATGTGGAGATTAGGTGCACAGAAGTTCCAGCGTACAATATTCCCTCTTGATCTGAGCAGCCCAGCCCTTATGCGGTGATCTGTTGCTCTGTGGGCAAAACCTCTGCATTACAGTTGAAGACTGCTGCAATAAGCTCCACTTTACACAAATTAGATGTGGCACTTGGTCTTCCAGAAGACGCTAATGCAGCCCCTTTTGTCACTCAAAGATTGGACATTTCACCTGGCCCAAGCATGGACTCCACTGCTATCTTTGGGGAAAAACAGGACCTTCTCAGAGCATATGCTGACAGAGCCAGATCCCTGGCCTCTCTTTTAGCTGCACTGTATGCAGAGAGTGCAATGGGGTGTGGCTGGAGCAGGGGGCAGTCTTTGTCTAGCCGAGCCATCTCTGTGAGGCATCATTTAAAGCAGGCTTTTTTAAACCTGAAGTTAAACTGGGAGCCAAAATAGCCCCCCCAACCCTAGGACTGGGGGAATGGAAGGGTGGCTTAGTCCCAAACAGAGTTCAGCTGTAACTGAGGATCTAGACCTCAGAAGAGTGAGAAGCTATGGGTCACTGTGCTGCAGGGGTGCTCATGCACTGCAGCAAGAAGGCTATGGGTCGCTGTGCTGCAGATACTCTGCATTTGGAGGGCTATAGGATTAAACATGCAGATGGAATTCTCAAGGGAAAATTTTAGTTGAAAAAAACTACACCATGACCCTTCACATTTGTGCCACACAAAGCTCTTCCAGCTGCTGCTCTCTGGCTAAGGAAGCGAAGAAGCATCTATGTGTATATGAAGGGCTAGGCATATTTAATACAGAACATGGGAAGCAGGTCTCTATAACTCCTGTTGTGTAAATGACTAGGTCACGTTTCACAGGCAGAAAGGCATGGTGCTAAGACGTGTCTCTTTCTTTCCTCTCTCAGTTTGAGGAGGATACTGTGGATATCTGTCTGAAGCTACTGGACAGGAGCTTAAACTTCCAGTGTGACCCAGTCAAAGAGTATTCCTTAGGAAATAATCCCATATACATCAGTAGGGTGGTGAGCGCTATGGTAAGTGAAGGATTAATCATACTTACTTCCTTATCCATCACTGTACAGACACAGAACTCACAAAAGTCTTTTCTGCCACTCTAGTAGCGGCTACATGTCCCCTTCATGCCTTGCCAGGACAACTGTGTCATCCCCACAATGGGCTGTGGCTGCATCCAGGAGATGTTGTGATTCACCATAAGATGCCCATGATGTGCCCCATCTATGCATGCCAAAGAACTTTCTAGGCTGCAGTCTGCGGGTTCTGGTATCCCTGCTTCCTTCCAGATCAACAGCAATGTTGACAGCGGGGTTCTAGAAGGGAACTGGAGCGAAGATTACTCCAGCTGCATCTGCCCATCTGAGTTGAATGGCAGTCGTCATACTGAGACAGTGGGATGCTGCAGGAGGTCAACCAGTTAAATATGGGCAATGCTGGGTCTTTGCAGTTGTGATGTGCACAGATAGGGCGAGTGGACACTGAAGGGTATGTACATAAAATTAAAGTTCATGTTAACTCTGGGGATTAGCTCAGAAAGAATGAGAAACGAACATCCAACTATATAAAATGTGTTTATAACACAGCTCATTGCCACAATCCAAGGGAAGCAGGAGAGTCTGGGAGGTTGGGAATAAAACAGAGTTTCTCACCACTGAGCCATTCATTCACATCCAACCCACCGTGGCAAAGACTGATGTTCTTCACTGTCCTCTAACTGGTAATGTCAGCAAAGAGGCCAGGGACTAGATGGATGATGGAGATTGAACAGGCATCTTCCCGGAGGAATCCAGGCACACGGCAAAAGGCTGTGAGAAAGCCTGCACTGCTGCTACCCAGGCTGGGGATAGACTGGGTTCCAGGTCTGTGAATCTCACATTGTATGAGGAGAAAAACCCTTACTTTCAACTCTTCAAATTCTCAGTAAAAGCCAGGAGAAGAAACTAGCACGTGGCTTTACAGTCTGAGGGCTCTGCGTGCCACATACAAGGCAGGCTCCATGAGATACAGACTGACTTCAAAAATAACTTGGTTAGATGCTTCAGTCCTAGTAGCTGTGGCTGCTTTTCATGGCCACAGTCACCAGCTAACCACACGTACCCTAGAGAATAGGCCTCGGAAATGCAATGAGCTGAAGGGAACTAAGGCACACAGCAGTTCTAACGCAGCAGAGGGCTGTTACACCTGCACTAACCCCAACACGACAGTCTCCCTCTGGGAGAAGCAGCTCAGAGTTCACTGGAGAGGCAGCACTCGAACCCCATTACCACCCTAGATGGCAAGCTCCCAGAGAAGTTAGTTGATTCATACACAAACTGAAGGGAGATTTCAGGTCCACCTGCTCCTCAGTGCTGGCTGTTGTGACTCTCTCATTACGGGTAAAGCACAGAGATGGGGTCATGTCTATTCAGTCACAGGCTATGGGGTCCTATGGGGCCTGGGGATCAGCACTAGCCCAGCAGCTGTAACTTTCCTCTCCCTTTCCCAGTGATGAGATGCCTGGGGAATCCCAACCCGCACCTTACCAACTTTGAGTCAGGCCACAAGAAAGACAGCAACCTGATTATTGACAAGTTCTGTGATACCACAGGCAGGATCACTTCAGTCCCTGGAAAAATCAGCCTCACTTCAGTCCCTGGAAAAATCATGGAGCAGGTCCTCAAAGAATCAATCCTGAAGCACTTGCATGAGAGGAAAGTGATCAGGAACAGCCAGCATGGATTCACCAAGGGAAGGTCATGCCTGACTAATCTAATCACCTTCTATGATGAGATTACTGGTTCTGTGGATGAAGGGAAAGCAGTGGATGTATTGTTTCTTGACTTTAGCAAAGCTTTTGACACGGTCTCCCACAGTATTCTTGTCAGCAAGTTAAGGAAGTATGGGCTGGATGAATGCACTATAAGGTGGGTAGAAAGCTGGCTAGATTGTCGGGCTCAACGGGTAGTGATCAATGGCTCCATGTCTAGTTGGCAGCCGGTATCAAGTGGAGTGCCCCAGGGGTCGGTCCTGGGGCCGGTTTTGTTCAATATCTTCATAAATGATCTGGAGGATGGTGTGGATTGCACTCTCAGCAAATTTGCGGATGATACTAAACTGGGAGGAGTGGTAGATACGCTGGAGGGCAGGGATAAGATACAGAGGGACCTAGACAAATTGGAGGATTGGGCCAAAAGAAAGCTGATGAGGTTCAATAAGGATAAGTGCAGGGTCCTGCACTTAGGACGGAAGAACCCAATGCACAGCTACAGACTAGGGACTGAATGGCTAGACAGCAGTTCTGCGGAAAGGACCTAGGGGTGACAGTGGACGAGAAGCTGGATATGAGTCAGCAGTGTGCCCTTATTGCCAAGAAGGCCAATGGCATTTTGGGATGTATAAGTAGGGGCATAGCGAGCAGATCGAGGGACGTGATCGTTCCCCTCTCTTCGACATTGGTGAGGCCTCATCTGGAGTACTGTGTCCAGTTTTGGGCCCCACACTTCAAGAAGGATGTGGATAAATTGGAGAGAGTCCAGCGAAGGGCAACAAAAATGATTAGGGGACTGGAACACATGAGTTATGAGGAGAGGCTGAGGGAGCTGGGATTGTTTAGCCTGCAGAAGAGAAGAATGAGGGGGGATTTGATAGCTGCTTTCAACTACCTGAAAGGGGGTTCCAAAGAGGATGGCTCTAGACTGTTCTCAAAGGTAGCAGATGACAGAACGAGGAGTAATGGTCTCAAGTTGCAGGTGGGGGAGGTTTAGATTGGATATTAGGAAAAACTTTTTCACTAAGAGGGTGGTGAAACACTGGAATGCGTTACCTAGGGAGGTGGTAGAATCTCCTTCCTTAGAGGTTTTTAAGGTCAGGCTTGACAAAGCCCTGGCTGGGATGATTTAACTGGGAATTGGTCCTGCTTTGAGCAGGGGGTTGGACTAGATGACCTTCTGGGGTCCCTTCCAACCCTGATATTCTATGATTCTATGATCCTGGCTCTGACAGCAAGGACAGTGTGTGGTGAGATCGGCTCTGGCTGCAGGTCCCTGTATTCAGCTCTGGGATGGACAGGCTAGGCTACACCCTCCCAGATAGCCCAGGAATGGAAGGGCCGCGCTTTCTTCCTCTGCTCCATCCCTCTGGCCCCCTAGGATAACTGCAACTCAGAAGAACACTTCAGGGCTGCAGAAAAGTCTTTCAGAACAACAACAACGAATGCTGTTGCAATCGAAGCCTGGGAGAAGCAACCCCTCCCCCACACACACAGCAAGAGGTGGGGGGGGGGGGGGACAGTATGGGATCATCTTCACTGGCATTGCAGCACCCACCTCACTCCCTTCCCTCAGCTTGGGCACTTCTTTGCAACTGAATTTAACTGACCTGAATGTTGCAAGGTGACAAGGAGCTGCCTAGTTGACACAGCAGCAGGGGTGCTGGAACAATTTGTATAGGGGGAGTGCTAAGAGCCATTGCAACAATCTGTAAATCCTGTAAATGATGGAAACCATTCCAGCACCTATGCACAGCAGCATGAACCTTCCTGGCTCCCACATGCAGCTTGGTAACATGGCCGCTTTCGGCTCCCACATGCAGCACAACGGCTCCCCAGGGCCTCACCCTGGCGCAGTGACTCACATGTGCCACACCCTAGAGGGGCAGTTCCTCCAGCTCCCAAGGGCCTCATACAGCAATCACATAAAAGTTATCTGCAAAGCAAATCCTTGTCTCTATTTCCTCCTGTAGGAACTTCCACGTCTAGAATGAGTGCTGGATGGCACAAAGGAACCTGCCCCCAGGATACGCAGGGTGGCAGGTACTGGATGCAACTCCTCAGGAAACTAGCACTGGTAAAGGCTGGTCTCCTCTCTGTCTGGTCCTTATGCACAGGCGCTTCAGCTCTGCAAGAGCCTGGCTCACTTTGCTTCCTCTCTGTAGGGGTGTACTGCTGTGGTCCTGCCTCTGTCATAGCCATCAGAGAAGGGGACCTGAACCTCTGTTACGATCATAGAATATCAGGGTTGGAAGGGACCTCAGGAGGTCATCTAGTCCAACCCCCCTGCTCAAAGCAGGACCAATCCCCAATTTTTGCCCCAGATCCCTAAATGGCCCCCTCAAGGATTGAACTCTCAACCCTGGGTTTAGCAGGCCAATGCTCAAACCACTGAGCTATCCCTCCCCCACTGTATGTTCTCCATGGTGAAAGCCGACTGCATTGCCTGGCTTGCCTATGGAGCAAGGAAGGAAATACTTCACGGGGACACGCACTCTATTGGGAACCACATCAGTACCAAGAGCACTGGGAGCAATGAGTGCGAGGCTATCACCAATAGCTATAAGTACAAGGAAGGTACAGAAACACCCAGCCCAGGCTGCTCTTCCAGCATTAGCCACAGTACAAGGACAGGCTTGCACAGTGGTATAATACAACAAACCAATTTGCAAACTGAGCTGGGAAGCCATCTATATCTCACTTAGCTGGCAGAAAGTGTCAGCTGTAGGGAAAGGAGATCTGAGGCCTTAGAGATTGTTCAACCTAGACTGGGCCTCAGCCTCTTTTCCTTTGTTACGGATGGTTGGACATTTTTCCAGACCAGCTCTGCTGAGTTTATGGAGAGCAAAGTACCAGCGCTGTTTCTCTCTTCAAACCAGCTCCCAGGAGGAAAGGCGGGTGTATGTGAAGGCCTGTGCCCAGGCACAGCACAAACCAATGAGAAGTCCTAGCACAGCAGGGCCCAACAGGCTCCTGCCAGGAGCCCTGAGATTTTCACCGGCTCCACCCACCCCAGAAGAGAACCATAACCAGGAGCCACGGAAAGTGGCACAAACCTATCTGAAATTTAAACTCGCTGAGTCCCCTGAAATTGGTCAGGACATCAAGTTGATCCTGCTAGCTTGTAACCTGGCTTTTGAGTACAAGAATGTAAAGCTGAGTGTGAGTACCCAGTCCATGCTGCACAATAGCACCCCCCCACCTCCCTTCTGGCAGGAAACACTGTACATCACTTTCCATCCCAAAGAAGGTAATTTTCATTGCTGCTCCAATCTTGGTGCAGGGCCCATCGGGACACTGCATGGGCTCAGGAAGTCAGCCCACCAGGCACTGGGGAGCATCAGTGGAGCCCAGAGTGCCTGGCCTACAGCTCTGTGAATATCTGTTCTGTTTGTAGAGAAGATCTTTCCATGGACAATCTCATACCCCTACTACAGGAACCATCTGCCCTAGACAAGCTGGTTCAGGTCACTGCCATGGGGGGAGGAGAACACCACCTGGGAGAAGCTGCTCGTGAAAAAGATCACCACCCTGGCTTACCCTGCTATCCTCATTAATGTATGGCAGCCTTGTGTAGTTAATTGTTTCCCCTAGGGGCTGAAAGCCAGGGCCACGCAGGGTTGGGAGGGAAAGGAAAGCAGGGAGAACTTCTCCTTTAGAAAGGAAGCTCTGTCTCTGGAGCTCTTGCAGGGAATGGAGAACCCCCACCAAATGCTGCTCTTCCAGAAGACAGGGAAGACTGTCTGCTGCCCACTGTGGATTATGCTGAGCTTCCATCCATCTAGTCTGACGGAGAGAGTCTATCATTACTAGCACGCCCACTGTACATGTTCACTGCCTCCAGAAGAGAGGGGAGCAGCAATATCCACATTTTATCATTTAGGAACTGGGACTTGTCCCCAGACAGTTGGCAGTCCGTGGGTAACTGGGGTTAGAGTTGGGAAGTTCCTGGCACCCACCCATGGATGACATCTCTCTCTGACTCAAAAGAGTCTGAAATACCTCATCTTGACTATTCCTATCCATCTGCTGCTAATCCAATCACAAGCCCACCTGGTTGTGCCCACTGTACAGAAATGGGTGAGCTGCTGACTTCAGCTAGATGAAGGGCACTGCAAGCTCAGCACAGCCAGCCATCAGTGCTCTAGAGACAGGACAACACTGGTTACGTCTACACTGCAAATAAACCCCTCGGGCTGGCCTGTGCCAGCTGACTCAGGTTTGGGCTAATGTGCTATTTAATTACAGCGTAGACTGTTAGGTTCAGGCTGGACCTGACCTCTGGGACTCTCCCCCAACACAGGGTCCTAGAGCTCAGGTTCCAGCCTGAGCCCTAAACACCTACACTGCAATTAAACAGCCCCTTAGCCCAAGCCTCGCAGGCCCAAACCAGTCAGCATGGCTACGGTGTTTAACTGCAGTGTAGACATACCAACTGATAAGCCACTAGCCGTATTGGCTCATCTGCCTTTAGTAAATGTGGACCTCCAGTGGCCAGCATGTGAATAGCAAATAGCACAGCATATAGAGAATTTTTAATACATTATTTTCATTTGTAACTTCATTAATTTTTCCATTGGTGAAATGGTACGGGGTATGTATACAGAACAAAAAAACCCTGTAGCTGCAAGTCTCACAGCCCAGCTCTGCAGATTTGGGCTCATGCCATAGTACTAAAAATAGCCACGTGACATTCCAGCTCAGGCTCTGAAACCCAGGGAGAGAGGTGGTTTTCAGAACATGAACTGGAATGTTTACACAGTTATTTTTAGTGTCACAGTATGAGCCCTACAAGCCCAAGTCTGCACACTTGGCCTCTGAGGGTATGTCCACACAGCAACTGCACACCCACAGTTGGCCCGTGCTAGCTGACTCAGGCTAGGGCTGCAGGGCTGTTCCATTGCTCTGTAGACTTTTGGGCTCAGGCTAGAGCCAGGCTCTAGGGCCCTGTGGAGTGGGAGGGTCCCAGAGCTCAGGCTCCAGCCCAAGCCCAGAAGCCTACATAGCAATGAAACAGCTCTGTAGCCCGAGCCCTGCTTCCCCAAGCCAGCGGGCATGGACCAGCCGCGGGTTTTTCTTTGCTGTGTAGACATACCTTGAGACTCACTGCTCACTTGTTGTGTAGACCTACCCTTAATGTCCACTGAAAGACTCTCTTGGTTTCTTTGGACAGGATTTGCATACCCTCCAACAGCTGAGACACAGAAGGGGGTAGTTTAGCTTCAGCTCATGCTCCCCTGAAGCTGGCCACAGCCCTGTGCAGCATGGGAAGAAGTTTTTAGTGGTTCTAGGCGGAATAGAGAATGATAAGCTGGAGGCAGCTGCTTAGATTATAGGAACAGGGCTGAGGCAGCCATGAATGTTAAAAGAAGCTGCATTTCCGACTCCTCTGCCTTAGTCCCAGCTAACAAATACTGCAATAGTGGGGGCAGGCTGGCACTGGAGCACAGCATCTGTCCCCACCTCAAGCTGGGTCACATCAGAGCAGAGATCTATACAGAGCATATGGTGGGGATGAAGATCTGACACATTTTTAGATGCACCCAGGAAAGTACCTCAGAAAGCAAGAGGAAGAATGGTCTAGGAATTAGGACACTAGCCCGAGACTTAAAGACCCAATTTCAATTCCCTGCTCTGCCACAGACTTCTGCCTCAGAATCTACAGCCTTGAGTTAGTTGCCCTGCCCCTCAAAGGGAGTTAGACAGATGTCTCCACTCAGGATTTACAGCTAAGCACCCTCTCCTGGAGTTAGTCACCTAAGCCAGGTCAGCCCTTCCTGCAAAAAACAAACCAAAAAAGAGAGATACTGGTGGTGCCTGCCCCCACCCCCTTATGCCAAATAGCCCAGGAGTTAGAGCACTGACCTGGGATGTCGGAGACCTGGATTTCAGTGTGCAGCTGCAGGATCCATACAGCATCCCCTGGCTTGCTGCACACTAGCACTCTGTGAGACAAGCCCTAACAGACATCAATTGCAGCTGAAGAGTGTGAAACTGACCTCACTTTGTATGAGCCACTCATTTGGAGCAGGAAAAGCCAGATCCCGAGAGAGAAGGGAAATTTCTGCAGTTGCTCACAGCAACTATCAGGGGACAGATATACCCCAATGAGGGGAGGAAATAGAGCTGCTGAGTTATCAGTGGAGAGAGGGTCAAATCTGGTGGGAACACTGGCTTCCAGGAAAGCTGGGGAAACAGCAGAGTAAGAGGCAAGAATAGCAGCCAGCAAGGGGAGCGGAGGGCAGGGCTGGGAAGAGCAGGTATTTTACGTGAAGTCACCATTATTTCCGCTATTTAGCATGGGAGCCCTCAGACCCCAAGAAAGGACCAGCATCACTTTCCAAATCATCCCCTTCAAGAGCAGCCAAAGGCAGCTCCAAGTAAACTTCAAGAGCAACAAGTTCAGGGATATCAAAGGGTACAAGGCTCTCAAGGTGGCACCCACCAGTAGATTTTAACAACTCCATGATCATAGCTGTGCAGCCTGAAATGAAATTCACAGAGAAGGAGCGCAAACTCCCCACACAGTGTAATGCAACAGCAGGAAGTATCCGAATCAGGAGAATGACCTTTCACCACAGTAGCTACTGGAGCACAAGGAAAGCGCTAAGGTTAAGTCCATGTCCATGCAAGGCTCCTGCTAGGTAGTACATTGGTGCAGCAGCTCCTAAGCTCCTGTGGGTGCCTGGCCCTGTACCGCAGTGGCTGTTTAAGGCCAGATGAGCTAGGACAGCACAACCTGCTGCTACAGTCCATTCTTTTGAATTAACAACAAAATACTGCAATCCTATCAGTCTCCATTGCCAGCTTGGTTATAACACAAATAGACTCCTATCAGAGGAGTCTGCTTCCTCCAAGTTCTGGCTAAGGGTGCTAGGCAGTAGGAGCTACGGCACGGCAAGCCTGGCACGGCACGGCAAGCCTGGCACGGCACGGCCCTGTGGGTAACTAAATCTTGATGCAACATTTGAGTGCTCTTGAAGCTGGGGTCTGTTCTTATTCAGACTCCGTGATTATGGAGAACCTGGAGCAAATGGGAGGTACAAGGACAGAAAGGGGCACACTGAACAGCTCTGGATCCAGGATCAACTTCCTGCCCAAGGAACTGACTTACTCTTTGTTGCACTAGTAACTTACAGGAGAAGTTTTGTCAGGTTGAACCAGCCACTGACTTTCCCAACCACCATTGTCCTACAATTGGCTAAGAGCTGTAAAGCACTTGTGGGGTCCTCAGATGGAAAGTGCCAGAGTCTTATTATTAAAACTTAAACCATCATTTGATGGCAACATCACAGCACCAGAAGTCCCTTGATTCTCACTTGTTGCTTTCCCCCACACCAGCCTTTAAATATGCTGGGGTCACCAATAAAATGTGGAGATGTAATTAATCAAGTTGTGGGGACTTAGCTCAGGTCCTCCAAGAATAGCCTCCTCACCCCGTTCACTTCCCCTTTCCCCCTAAATTAAATCAACTACGCTCACATACTCTCTCTCTGCACTCTCCCTACCTCCTCACTAAGTCTCTGCCTCCCAGTCACACTCCTCTCACTCATTCTCTCTCTGCACGCTCCTTCTCTCCAGATGTGGATGGGCTCCCAGGGATGATGCTCTCCCTTATCCCAGGCTTGCAGGGCAGGGGTAGAATACTGTTGGAATAAGGTGACCATTTACTAACAAAAGCCAGGATACCCTCCCCGCACACCCTCCCGCACTCTGACTCTGATCTGTACAGGCTGCTCGGGGTTTGTGCCCCCCACCCTATGTTCTAGCTCCTCTCCCCATCTCTGTTCTCTTCCCTGGGCTTTATTTCTGTCCTCTCCACTCCTCACTTTTGCTGCATGGAACGAGGAAGTGAACTGAGACCAGCATGGGTGACAGAGAGGTGCCTGGTGGACACAATAAAGAGTTTAGTTCTGAGACATAGACTAGGGCACAGTGAGACAGGCCCTTGAAGGCTCTGTTAATAGGAGCAATTGAAAGAGTTACAATATCCAGTCACTTCAGAGACCTGCATCCTGGTACTATAACTGAGATGCCCTCACATCTTTCCTCCCCTTCCTGTCCACTTCATCACATAGGATTGTTGAATTGGTGCCTTCAAAGGCTGCTTTCTAATAACATGAGAGAACTGAGAGACAACAGTCAAGCTCTGCTGGAATCATTCCACTGTGGTCCTGCTCCATCTGCCTCATTACGCTATTAAAGAGAAAAGGAGGACAGTAAGAGACTGTGTTCATCTTGTATAGCAGGTTCTCAGGAAAGAGATGCTTGAGAGCGCCTTCAGAAAGATAAGAGAACTTAGGACTGCCAGCACCAGCAAGACTGCTCCTTGCACTGTTCCTCCTGCCCTTGAAGAACCAGCTCCTCTGCTCTTTGCCTGCATCCAATGTCAGAGTTCCCTGCTGCTGGGATAGGATGTACACCTGCCTGTGGAAGTGTCTAACAGGACTGGTGGTAAGAAGGCTGTGCATCTGCTGCTGAGGTCCCTGTCCCTGCAGTACAGAGGCACGGCCATTACCCAGCTCTGGAAGGAGAAGCTTCATTTCTTTCTCAAAGATAACCAAGGTAAGGTCTGTACCACATGCAACCACAATGCAGTCTGACCCGACAGGCACAGACACTCCAGCTCCAGAAAACCACTTCCAGACCCTACTTTTCACTTGGAGAGAAGTATGTTTAGTTTCCAAATGTGTGAAGAGTTGACCGAATAACCAAGTGACGCCAACTTGATTTACTGTTAGTGGGGGCCACATGGGGACACTATCCCTATTACTGGGGTGCAAATTCAAAGCCTAGCTGGGACTATGTAGCTATTAAAAAGATGGGGCACGGGTAGTCTTGAGCACTACAATCCCAGCAGAATTACCCAGGCTGAGACTAGACTGAACTCATCACCATTTGTTTCCAGCCTGGGTGCCTGATGCACAGTCCAAGAGGACACTTGGAGAAGGTCATCTGCTGAGGCTGACAGCATGCTGAAGGACGAAGCCTCCCCCAGTACGTACTTTGGACAGGAGGAGATCAGCATTTGCAAAGCCCAGCTCACTACTGAAGTAAAAGGAGGGGTCAGTCACTTTGTTACTGCAGCAGTGAGAACACAGTGACCTCTATAGCCACAAGCAGGACAAGTTTTGTTGGGCTGAGTGGCTCAGAGATGATCTTTTCCACTATGGAACTAAACTAATAGACCATTGGGTGTGGGTTGGGAGATAGCAAGCTAGGCTGCATTGCCATGTACAGCCCCTCCTCTCCCGCCGCCCCCAAACTGTCCCAGCTCACTTGTTGGACCGGACAACCACAATGGTTCTTTCTGGCCTTAGAATCAATGGCACAGGACTTCAGAGATCCCTAAAGCACATCATAAACCCTGCACTCCAGTCTAGAGCACAAGGGATACAATAGGAGCTCACAAGCAGGCGGTGCAGATTGGCAGAAGTGAGAGATCAAGAGGCTCACCTTAGAAGATGGACAACCACCAGTGGCTCCCAGATAGCCTGTTCTAACCTCCTCAACCCCTAGAAGCTTCTCACTTATTCTTTCTTACCTCCAGAACACTTACTTCTCTTCACCGCTCCCAGAGTGCGGTGCATTATCAGCCAACCATAGCACAGATCAGCCTCCTACCCCCCTGGCTGAGCCCCTGGTGGAGTGTTTGATGGCAGTCACAGACAGGGCTCATTTATAGAGACAGGAGGTATGGCTAAGGGCAAACTGACTCTCCCTGAGCCATGCAACTTATTCTGCAATAGGCATGACCCAGAGCTAGAGCCAACTGCACTGAAGACAGGCTGCATTTATTATTTCTTTATAGCCCCCAAGGGTGAACAGGCTACAAGGCTGGCATTACTCGCAAAGCAGGGTGGGGAAGACCAGGCAGAAGCCACTATAGCTGAAAGTCCATCATCTGTTTTTTTTTTTACTAAGAATTGATGCCTTGGATTCCACTAATATCACAGGAAAGAGACAAACCAAGGAAGAAAAATTGCAACAAATGTTTAATACGGAAAGACAAACTCCACACATGGCATTTGGGAAAAGCCTCAGCCCGCTGACAGAGCAGTGGAAGAGGAACCACATAATGGTAACACTAAAGCATCACCGGGGGCATGGAGATGAAACAGATACACATCAACAAAACATGGAGGAGATATTTACTCCATTAAGCTGTGCATGTTCTCCCCGAGGAACGGGAAGGAGCTGTTTTTCAGCATGGAACAGGGAGCAAGTTCCAGCTGCTTGGTCAACTGAGTTAACTGTTTGTTCAGCCAAGGCTTGTAAGTAATGCTGACAGGGACATTTCAAGCCATCGCTCAGAGGCGTGTGTGTGCGCGTGTGCGAGAGAGCAATGCCCAGCAGTATAGCAAATCCCCCCTGCTTCTCTGCTGGGGTAAGAGACTAGCCTACTTCCTTCGTTTGCAGAAAGCTCTCATCCCTTGGAGTGCAAGAGGCTCTCTCCCCCACATGGCTGGGTATTAAGTGGTCTCACACAGTGCTACACTCATTGGGGTGTAGTTTAACTACATACCCACATGTACGAGACACAGTGGTCTTAGCTTTACTGGTGGCAGTTCCCTTGGCCCAGCTGCCAGATTTTCCAGCTCTTCAGGGGCCCCTGTAACCAGTTTCATCTCAAGTTCAACCAAAGGAGAGGGATACAGAGGAAGAACGCAAAACATGGCTGAGCTCTTTATAAGTGTCCATGTCTTTATTGGGCTGATTTGCTCTTGTAAGAGGTCTTCACACAGCCCCAGGCAGTTCAGAAAACCATAGGACCCTCCTAGAGCATGAGGTACAGTCATTCTTCTCTTGCTCTTTTTCCAGAAGGTTTTTACTAAACATCTATTGCTGGTTTTGCAGATAATCCCCAAATATGAATGGGGGATCCCAAGGAGTGGGGGACAGGTTACAGGTACATCCTTTGAGAGTTTTCACTCCCTTTGCCTTAGCTTCCCCCATTACTTCCCCAATGCTACAGTATCAGAACTTTGACCCTTTCTTCTGACTCCATATTTGGTGCCTGTCAGATGCACCTCCAGCCCCTGAAAACTATGAACAAAGCAAATAATTGCATTGCCTTCTCTTGAGTAGCAGATTGGGCTCTGTACAGCCTGGCAGCATGCTGCGCTTACCATCCCTTCACCCCACCCAGACAGGGCCCAGACGACTCACCATGCATCTTGACTGCAGTCAGAATCTGAAGGGCTACAGAAGCATCAACACTGTGGCTGCTAGATCCCAGCGTACAGCAGGTGCTACTATCCTGAGCCCTGGTCCCAAGGTGGGTTCTCTCCAGGGAGGGGAGTTTATGCTGGATGGTGGAGCTGCACAGGAGTCAGCAACATTCACTCTAATTAAAGTCACATTTAAGCCATGTTAAATGTTGTCTTATTACATTCTCAGCCTAATGCCCACCTAGCCCAACATCCCCTGAATCCAGCCAAAACCATCCCAACTAGGCACTGATTTCTCACTATACTATGCCCATCCCCGTGGCATCAGGGTGCCTCAGCTATCAAGGAGAAAAAGAGTATCAGCCTGGCATTTTAAGGGGAAGATGCTGCATCTCCCTAGAACTGCACTCTGGTGCCCACAGAGTTGTTGAACTAGCAGATAACAGTTTCCACTGCATCCTCACTGGAAGGGAGCAAATTCCTTTATTCCTTTCCCATAATTCAGAGGGAAGTGAGGGCATCACTCCATACATTCTCAGGCTGCCAGGAGAAAATGTACCCTTCATGGGTCCAGTCCAGCCTCATGAAGGTAGCAAAACCCTTCCCCCTCCACAAAACAAAGCCACCATGTGAACCTAGTGACATTTTATTGCCCTTTCTGCCCTATAGGGCAGCCCTAGAGCCAAGTCAAAGGGGACAAGGCATATTCACAACAACAAGATGCAGCTTCTCATTGTCCCAGGAAACAAATCAAGGGTGGCAGTGTTGGCAGTTGCCAGAGGAGACCACCAAGTCACACTTTGCATTTGCAAAGTTCTTCCAGATTGGAAAAGCTCTTCCCTCAAACGTCAACCCCATCGTTCTCCCCGTGTTCAGGGAATGACCAGACGCACCAGAAAGGCAGCTGTTAGAGACCCCAACTGCAGAAGCATTAAAGTTCACTCTGTGTGAAGTCCTTAATTTTGTCCATGTTGTGATCTACTGCACCAGTGAGAAACTGAACCCAGCCTTCCTCCGATGGGGGACACACATGGCTTGCCCTGCAGGAAAGGGAGAGGCATTAGAATGACTTTGAGGTACTGTATATCTAGGCACCTCCAAACTGCAGAGTGCCAAGTACCACAGGACCATGTCACAAAGAGCTAGACTATTACAGGGTTATAAAGGAAAGGTCTCTGCAGCCTCAGAGTGCCCTTGTCAGAGCGGGAGTTATCTGTACCTCCTGCCTACCCCCAGCAGGGAGTGGTCTCTGGACAACACCCTAGATACACAACCACACTTTGCCTCACCAGTCTGGCAGGTTTAGGTTGGACATTAGGAAAAACTTCCTAACTATCAGGGTGGTTAAGCACTAGAATAAATTGATTAGGGAGGTTGTGGAATCTCCATCATTGGAGATTTTTAAGAGCAGGTTAGACAAACACCTGCCAGGGATGGTCTAGATAGTACTCAGTCCTGCCATGAGTGCAGGGACTGGACTAGATGACCTCTCGAGGTCCCTTCCAGTTCTATGATTCTTTGCTGCATGCTGGTCTGTGTGTGTGTGGCGGTAGGAGAAAGTAAGGGAGACAAATCTGTCATCTCTACCCTCACCATGTCCACTCCTCACTAATTCCCAGCAATTTCTGTACCCGCCTGCCCATCCAGTGCCCTGCATCCCCACCCCCTACAGGGAGGGGTCTCTGCCACACTTTGTATCCACAATTCAAGAAGGATGTTGATAAATTGGGCAAGGTTCAGAGAAAAGCCAAGAGAATGACTAAAGGATTAGAAAATGTGCCTCATACTGACTGAGCTCCTTGAGTGTTTTTAGCTTACCGAACAGAAGGTAAACGGGTGACTTGATTAGTCTATAAGCACCTACATGGGCAGCAAATATTTAATAATGGGCTCTTCAGTCTAGTAAAGGTATAACATGAGCCAATGGTTGGATGCTGAAGCCAGACAAACTCAGTCTGGAAATATGGTGTAAATTTTTAACAGTGGGGATAATTAACCATTGGAACAATTTATCCAGGGCTGTGGTGGAGTCTCCATCCCGGTTGATTTTTGTTTTAAGGATATGCTCTAGTTCAAAAGGAATTATTGTGGGGCAGGTCTCCGGCCAGTGTTACACAGGACGTCAAACTAGATGATCACAATGGCCCCTTCTGGTCCTCGACTCTATGAAACCCCCATATCCTCTCTCCCTACAGCCATCACTCCCTTTGGGGCAATCAGGGTAATCCCAAATTCACATTGGCTCTCCACAAGCCTTCTGAGGAGCCCAGGCTGGTCACGTCTGGCACAGCTTCTCTAACAACATCCAGAAAGAGGGCAACCTCTCGCCCCCTCCCCTCCAGAAACACTCTGAGCTCAGGAAGGCCCACAGGCCATACTCACTTTGTAATTTCTAGGACTTTCTTTAATACAGAGGCCAGTTTGGCAGCCTAAAAGGAAGCAAAAGGGAAAACGATTGAGCCAATGTGGCAAGCACGATCCCAGCACTGCTGTGGGGAGTTGAGGACACATGCAGGAATCTTCTATCATAGGAGGCATCCTAGCATAGCCGGGGGGAGGAAGAGACAACTCTATACCCAGCAAGCGAGGTGACCACCTAAAGCTGTTGTGGGGAGCTACCCCCAGCCTAGTGCTGCCATGGAGGAGGAGCTATTCCCGACCACAGAGGCAGCTTTGGGTCTCTGCTCCCTTGGGCAGTGGCACCCAGACACCTCTAGGGGTCACACAGCTATGACAAGATGGCAGTACAGTACAGACCCGTTTACACGTGGATGTCGGGAGTCAAGCTGTCACGACCGCTTGTTAACGGACCGCGGGTTAAGAGAGCCATGCTGAAAAAAGTGTCTATGATTCACTTAGAAAAAAATGCCGTTATTTTCCGCTTCTTATGAAGTCTGTCATTCGCCACGGATGAATGATTTTGATATTTTCTGCATTTTGCTCCTCCATAAATCTTACAACAGCACTAAGGGCTTCTGTGGGCGAAACTGACCTTTTCAGCGACATCCTCACCATCACTTTCATGGTCCGACGTAGCCTCGCAGCCTGTTAATATTTCTTCCTCAGACAGAAGTTCTGAAGTCGGGCAATCTTCATCCATCTCCAGCCATTCGGTAATGATTTCCAGTGACATATCCAAACTAAAATCTTGTCATTTGAAAGAGAAGTTTACCTTTATCCTCTTTTGTCTGCATGCGTGTTTGTAGGACATCGTCTTCCGAAAATCCTTCAGAGTCTGGCTCTGAATCAGTGCCACTGCTGGAGTTTTCCAAGTCTGAGCTGTCTTTGACAGAAAAGGCATCACCGAGAGCCTTCATCCAGCAATTTTCAATGGACTTTTGTTTTACTCCGTGCCAAGCTTTTTTAACTAAATAAATAATTTCCTTCATGTTTAACTGTTTCAGGAATTCAGAAATGCCTGAAGACGTGCATGACACGATCGCCAAAATCGGCTCCCGTCAATAACTGTTTTTAAAAATACCGAATAATGCCCTGGTCTAAAGATTGAATTTTTGATGTTGTGTTGAATGGTAGGTATAGCACTCGAATTTTTCCATCACTCGATACCAGTGATTTGGCCGGAGGATGGGCTAGACAACTGTCAAGTAGCAAAAGTGCTTTGGCTTCGAGTTTCTTCGACCGCAGATGCTTACGAACAGCTGGAACAAAGCTGTTGTGGAACCGGTCGTCGAAAATGAGTCTCATCATCCAAGCATTTTCGCTGTTAGCGTATATTATTGGCAGTTTGGCTCTATTGAGGTGATTAAAGCAGCGAGAGTTATGAACGCAGCCAACTAGAACAGGGGCAAGCTTATGGCTGCCTGTCTTATTACTACAAAAAAAAAGTCACACGATCTTCTCTTTTTAAATCCAGCTGTTTTCTGTCTCGTAATTAAAGGCTAAAGTCTTATCTGGTAGCAGTTTTGCAAATAAAGCTGTTTCATCACAATTATAAAGTTGTTCGTTGTGGTAGTCTTCATTTTGTAAAATAGATTTTAACTTGGTAGGAAACGTGTTCGCAGCTGATTCATCGGCTGATCAGCTCTCTCCAGAAATCAATACCTGCGCTATGCCATGATGCTTTTTAAAAACGACTTATAAACTGCTTGCTGGCTTGGAATGATTCATCCCCCGTTAAATTTCCAAATTTTTTCGCTTGGGCTTGAAGACTCGGCCCACTGAGTGGCGTTCCTTTCAGTCTTTCCTGAGCAAACCCTGTGCGCATGGCTGTGTCTACTGTGGGTTTTGCTGAACAGCGCACACGTATTCGCCTAAGCCCCGCGGCAGAATCGATATGTTGTACAAAGCCGTTCCGTTTAGATTCGTTTTTTAGCCATCCTCAGAGTAGATTCGGCCATCCCAATAGCTTTTGAAACCTTGGCCTGGGTTTCTCCGCTATTTACTCGATCTATTGCAGCTAGCTTTTCTTCTACAGTGTAGGAACGCAGACGCTTGCTCTCTGCTATTATATTAGGCCTATGGTTAAAATTTTCTAATGTAGTGTGTATAACTATATAACTACTATATATTATACATCTCTCTAGCGTGACAATGACTAAGCGTGCGTGATACATCTTTACCAATATCGGTAAAGACGTACAGTATGTTTCCACTCCGCACTTCCTGTCGATTTCTATGTCAGTGAGTTAGTGAGCAAATCTGTAGTGCTACATAGCAAGTTCTGCGTGTTAACGAGTCTCGCGTGTTAAATAGGTAGCACTGGGAAGCATGGTGCTACCGTGCGTTAAGCAGATTTGTGCGTAAACAGGTCTGTACTGTATCAGCACAGACCATGTACCCTCTCCATGTACTCTCTCCTTCCTGGTGGGCTCAAGACCCTGCGAGAGAAGGAAGAGAACCGCACGGAGAAGCTTACTCTGGAAGCCAAGTGGGTGTGACCCAACAAAAACAGACAGGCAGTCTTCAAACTCAACAACTTGCCACTGGGCCGGGGCCGATTACCAACTGCCCTTAGAAACACTAACTCCCACTTTTATTTTCTCTGTTCCCTGCAGGAGCCAAGCTGATGCCCTTTGCTCATGAGCTGGGGAGTGGTAGGTACTTACATTGAGTCGTACAGACAGCTGGTTCATGGGCGGATACATGCTTAGTGCCAGCTCATCAACACTAGGACAAAAGACAGAGGTTTCAGTATGAGAGAGGGAGCGGAGCAGTCAGCCCAACCAATGGATGAGCAAAGGCTATGCCTCCCACCAAACATGTTAACTGTGAGAGCGAGTCAGGCTCTGGACAGCTCAGCAGAAAACCAACATCAGCTGTATCTAACAAATACGTCTCTTTTCTGTCCCAATCCTCGTGACCACCCATCCCCCATCACAACTATCCCTGGCCTAGTCACAGCAACTCTCTTACAGACTATTCCAGGGCCCCACTCTCACAAAGGCCCCACTCCCATCATGAGTGCAGAGGAAAACCCTTGCATAATGCAGTTCCCTGACCTAGCCGGCCTACAAGGACTGCCCTAGCACAGGTAACATTGAGAGGGTAAAGAGACTGACTCACCTCGGGCTGATCTCATTGGTGATGTCTGCAAGATCATCTAGCTGAGCCACTTGTTCTGGGGTGTCTGCTTTGCCATGAACCTTCACTGCACCCAAGAGCTTCTTCAGGCAGGCTTTGGAGGCCTTCATCAGCCCCATGCAGGGACTAAGTAGCTTCCGGTCAGCTTCAGACCAGTACGTGTCCCTATTGCCCCGAGAGCCCAGCTCCTCATCCTCCATGATGTCACTGTAGGGGTCCTGATCTTCCCTCTGAGCCTGAGAGCACATATACTGGAAAGGAAGAGCCCACCACTTGTCCCCATAGTGCCCCTGAGGAAAGGGGTGAGTACTAGCTAGAGCCTGCTTAAGTAGTTTGCAGGGGAATGTCTTCAGGATTGGAGTCGGACACCTGAGACCTTTTCTCCTTTGGGAATTAGCTTAAAAATCAACCCCTCAGGCACACCAGGCCACTGATCAGCAACAGCCTAGCAGGCAGTCCCCGCTCTAACCCTACACCAGCAAACTAAGCCATGCAAAAGACAAAATAACGAACTGGCTTCACAGAAGCCACATATTAAGTAGTGGAACTAGGCTGAGGTTTGGACATTCAACAAGATCCACGCATTGCATGACACTGTTTTGGGTCAGAATCAAGATATAGGAGCTATGACAACCTGGATAAATGTCACGGATTTACAGGATCTGTGCTACGCCCCAGCTTTTAAACAGTCCCTTGTAGGTATTTCTTCAGAATGCCAGACCCTCAGGGGGGTCCTTCCTGTCCACACGGGTAGGCCACACAGCCTCAACACTCCTGAGACTGAGTCTCTGGGCTCCAACATTCCAGTTTCACAACGTGAGCTCTGCCCAGCAAGTTCCACTGCAACAGACTCCTGTCCAAAGACTTTTTACCCCCTTCAAAGATCCATGCACTATGCAAGTATTTGCAGTGACACCAGGCAACCTTCTCAAAACAGAGTACGGCTTTTAGTCAATTGAAACACAGCATCAGGAAGTCCTTAGATTACATAAAGCAGCAAAAGTGAACACACAGTCACTGGACAAAGCTCCCTATAGGAACCATCTTGGTTTCCTTTTTCTCTCTCTCTTTGTGAGAGTCCCAGGTGAGAGATCTTATACCCCTCACAAGCAAGTTCTTATCCTAGTCTCCTGTCACTTCAGTCTTCCTCCTGCAAACCATGCTGAGTTTACATATTACCACTGGTGGGGTTTCCCATGGACAGGTGTCAATTGTTCAGCCCTTGGGGTTCCCATTATCCTTCCAGACCCTCCATTGATATGGGTCTGTTACAGCCAGTCTTTAAAACCTAGTCATACCACGCCAGACCGTTAGGTGATACACACATCTGCTTTGCTTCAGGAGCAGTTTAACCCTTTGTCACACTGGGTAACAATCAATAACCAAGTAAGTCATTGCCATGCATATCAGTCATAAAAATATTTCAGAGAATTCCCATTTCATCACAGTAGAAAACCACAGCTGTTGTTTCATTACAGCATCACTGCAGGAAACCCCTCCCCTCCTCCCCCCAACAGTTGGCTCTGTCCCCAGCAAAAATAAAGGGACTTCCTCACCTGCTCCATCTCCTCCACCGCATCCCTGACCACACCCAGATAGGCAGCCATGGCTGACAGGACTGCTGCATGGTTATCTGCACACAGAAGTCAAAGAGAGAAGGATGAAAGGGGACTGTACAGATGTTACCAGCTACCCAGCATCCACCATACTCCTCTAGGTCACTGGATCAGTCACCGCCACAGAACTCCAGGGTCACCATGCAGGTGACCCCACCTGGCTCCTGAGCATGTAATGGCTCTAGGAATGGCATCATTTCTGCTGTAGGAGCTAGGCTCCAAGATACCAGCTGCAGTGTTCCCCTTTAGTAGATTCAGGGACTGTCGATTTCTGAAGCCCATATCCCCCACTCCGGTTGGGAGTGCAGAGCTTTGCACTCCTTGCATCCATGTCGCTCACCTTGTGGCAGATGGGAAATCTGCTCACATGCCTCCCATATGCTACCAGTTGATATAAGCTGCTCCTGAGACAAACTGAAAAAGAAGAGAGTCCCTCAGGGTGCTGGGACCTATAAACATTGCTAAGTGCAGGGTATCCCCTTGTCAAGAGACAGGAAATATGGAGCTCCAAGAATCAGGCCAAGAATCTGTGCTGAGAACAACCTACTCCAAATTGCACAAGTTACCCAGCAACACAAATATTCCCCCCACCTCCTTCACAAAAGTCTTACCTCTCCCAGGCCTCCCCTCTCTGCCACATGCAGAGCTACATTCAACCCTCTGTGAAGGGGGTCATATTCATAGTTGGTTACTGTTTTGGGATGAGAAGGTGTGCATAGGGCTTTCATTTTCTTTCCCCATCTATTTAACCTAGCAGCATGTAATGGGGGCACTGCTCGATCAGTATTACCTCTGCAGTGGAGTACTGAGAATTACGTCTGTGAGCTGGATCATTCCTTCCACTACCTCGGCAGTGGCATCTCGCACCATCTTCCGCAGAGTGGTACCTAGACGAGATTGAGCAAGGAATGATGCAGCCTGACACTATCACAGTGAAAGCCAGCCCCTCTCCAAACACAGACAAGGTCAAACAGGCAGGCGTTCCTACTCTCTCTCACTCACACACACACACACCCCCCCCTTCTCAGGGGAAGGAGAATTGGCACAAACCTGCTCTCGCTGCCTCACCTTGGCCCTTGGGAAGCCAGTAATACACTGTGGCAGCTGCTAGGACAGCATTCTGGACGCCTTCACTCAGTTTCTGACAGTCCTGAGAACAGTGGACAAAAAGAATCAGGAATGAAAGGGGTGACACTGCAATCCCATTAAAATGCACCAGCTCCATCTGAAGGCAGATCACTTTCTTACACACTGTTGTTCTCAGCTAGGGACTCTGTCAAGTGGAGAGGAGTGGCAAAAAGCCAGCTGGGGGTAATGTGGGAAGAAGGTGAAGGACCACAGACCAACACACTTACTCTGTTGTTACGTTTCAAAATAATTGTAAGGCCGAGTCTGGTGCTCAGCTGTCTAATGCCACACCATACTCTAGGCATCAGACAGCAGTCTCCCCACCCCAAGGCATTCGCATATTGGTAAACTGGTACTGTCAAGTTGGGGGGGTGGGGGGAAGAAGAAGAGCTCGTACTATTATCTTGAACTATGTGGCTCTTTTTCCATAAACACTTGGGTTGAAACCTTCCACAGCCAATGAGCTGTTCCCTCAGCTCTGACAATTCTCTATGCAACAAGACTGGGAAGCCATGTGCCATTCTAAAGAAGAGCGAAAGGGTGCAATTACATCCCACAAACGTCAATGAGAAGAACCATTTGTTTTATTTTTTAACCCAAACTAACTTTGTCCTAGTTCAAAAGAGCAAGACGCAGAAAGGGATTGCAATGTGGGAGAAACCTTGAGATTTTCCTTGACATGGGGCATGCACTCACCTCTGCAGAAGGCAGCGGAGGCCTCGAGAATGCCAGACTCAACTTCGTAGCTTCCTGGGATGTTGCTTTGAACGTCTGACCTAAGGATCAATTCAATGGAGTCAGGACATTAGGCGCTGTCTCAGTCAAAGGGGGCAATACCAGCCCCTTTTCCTCCATCTGCCCCATCTGTTAGATAAAGCCGACATCAGTTCCCAGTTAGGAAACTCAGCTTAAGGAAAGAGATGGCAGCAATTCAGAGGAACACAAACTGTTGAACTGATCAGACGAAGGTCCATCTAGCCCAACGTCATGTCTCCAGTGGGACCAGCTGCTTGACAGGAAGGGGCAAGAAACTCTAAAATGTTTGTAAGGATACTTTGAAATTGAAGAATTGAAGTTAGTTTAACGTTGGTTAAGAAAATAATATATTTGCTAGTAAGGAAGAAAATGACCTACCCGGCAGACGAATGAAGACTGTGAAAATCGTGAGTTATGAGACCAGACTGTAGAAGGGGGAAAATATCGTTCAGCAAGCAACGGATACAGCGCAGAACTCGACGCTCCTGCATTTGGCTCCAGAGCTCCCAGGTTCGAGCCCAGCCCCTGGCATCTGCCCCCGCCAGAGCCCTCCCCTCGGCGCCAGCCGCCCAGGCCCAGGCGGGCCCCTACCTAGCGTGTCCCAGAAGCGCTGCTGCTCGAAGGTCTCGCTGCTCTCCCGCGACTCCCCGTCTGCAAAGACACCAGCGCAGCAGCTCAGAAGGGGCCGCGCCGCCCGCCTCCCGGCCCACGGCGCCCCGCCCCGCCCCGGCCGCGGGTCCCCCGGCGCCGCCAGGCCCGGCCCGGCCCGGCCCGGCCCAGAGGCTCCCCTCCCGCCGCCCCTGAGCGCGGACCGCACCTCGGATCCGGGCCAGCGCCGCCCGCAGCGCTTCGCGGAGGTGCCGCAGCGGCGCCGGCGCGGGCCCCGCAGCCCCAGGCTCGCGCTCCATCCGCTCCCTCGCACGCACTCCCCGCGGCGCTCGCCCGAGCGATCTGCGCATGCTCGCCGGCCGCTCCCAGGGGCGCGCGGCGCAGGGTTAAAAGGGCCGCACGGGGACGGAACCCGAGGGCGCAAAAGTTGGCAAAAATGGACGGAGAACGGAAGCGGGCGGCGGTTAAAGGCGCTCGAGCCCGCACCGCATTCAGTTCCGGCCTCGCACGGACCCCGATCAGTGTGGCACCGCAGCGACTTCCGCTCTCACCCGGAACCGATTCGAGAGGCGCTGCGCCCGTTTCCGCGCCTGCCAAGCCGCTCCAAGCGAGCCGCCTCGGCCTGTGATTTCTTGGACTTGCTTGTTGCTCCTGCTTTGGGTCTCCTGCTTTAAGGGGCTTCCAAAGGCGGGGCTACTTCTTCTAATTTCCTGCCCGAGAGCCTGATTGGCTCCTGCTTGCACAATCCCGCTAACCAAAGACAGGATCTGGAGGAGACTGACAGTCCCCAGGGCCAATAGGGAGAGACCAACGCTGCACGTTCCGGCCAATGAGGGACGGGATTCAGGGCACCTATCCCGGAAGGGGCGTACCGACTCTTCCTCTACGCGCTTTGTTTCCGCACAGCCCATAGCGAAGTGGGAGGTCATGGGGGTCACGCTCCCCGGGGGGCGCTGGGTCTATCGTGAGCCTGGGGGAGCGGACCCCTTAGAGTGAAACACCTTGCGCCAGGGCCAGCACTGGACACGTTAGGGAAGACTTGCTGGTCCCTGCAAGGAGGCACTGGGGCCTAGCTGAAGGTCTATGGACCTGGTCTCGCCCTCCCCCGCACCCCAGCCTGAGAGAGAGACACGCTGGCTGTTTTCTTAGAATGCCCTGGCCCCCGCGAGCCAAGGACACGTCCAACACCAGGAACAAGCCAGGGGCCATTGTGGAGACATCTCCCTCTCCCTCCCAGCAGCCGCCTCTACAGAGCAGCTTGCGGGCGCAGCAGGCAGTGCAGCACGGGGCTGGGCAAGACACACAGGGCCCAGCACGGGGAAGATAATGGGAGACAGCAGCACGAAGGGGGACACAGAGCCCAGCCCTTAGGGTGGGGGACAGACAGCAGCCCAGAGGGTGAGTAGGGGAAGAACCCAACAAAGTAAATATATCATTTATAGGACTATGAATAAAATTTATTAGGCTATAAAAGATTTCGGGTTAAACGATCAGTGCAATGAGCAGTAGCCAGAGCTACTGCAGGGGCTGATGCCACCACAGACTGGTGCCTGCCAGCCCTGGAATTGCATGAGGCCCCATGCATACTTCAGGCTAAAGCAGGCGAATTTTTTTCTGTTTCTACTTCATTCAGTTGCTTGATTCCACAGATAAAGTGCCAATAGGAAATGGGACTAGTTCTAGCAACGAACACCAGCAAGTGTTAATCACAAGAAACCCAATTTGCCAAGCAGAGCCAGAGCGCACCATCTGGCTACTCCACACGCTATGCAGCTTGGCAGTGGGGAAGGGCATTAATGGGGTTAAAAGGTCTTCTACTGAGGGAGATGGGCTCTTCTATATCAGCCTGCGAAGGTCCTCAAAGTTCAGCATGTTATTTGCAGTTTCTGACCAGGCTGCATGAGTTGCCCCATCCATTTCAGGGGCCAGACGGTTGCTGTGCTCTAGAGTGTGATCTTCACCTCCAATAACTGCCTTACACTCTGGGCACTTGCTTCTCTCCATTGCCCCACCACAGTCACCAATCACATAAATGTGGCCATTGGGGCACTTGAACCAGTGACCTTGTGGATAACCAAAGGCACTAACAATCTGAACTCGCTCCTCCTCAGAGATTCCCAACCCAGACTCTGGCAGAGCTGTCTTTAGTTCTTCCATTTTCATCTTCACCACCTTTTCGTCCTCTTGGGTGAACTTCTTCGTTCCCTCCAGGATCTGCCGCAGAGTGGCAATTTCTCTCGAGATAGAAGTATTCATCTTTGCAGTTGCTGTTTTGCATCTGGCCAGGAGACTCACCAGGTATGTAAGCCTCTGAATCTCACTCTGGAGGTCGGAGAGCTCCTGGCCAGTGAAGCTTAGTCGGGGCTTGTCCAACCACTCCTGAATTTCAGCCAGTCGCCTCCTCAGTCCTTCCTTCTCGCTCGCATCAAGCTTGTTCAGGGAGCTCATCAGCTCACCCAGGCGTCCATAGAAGCCAATCAGGTTCTCAAGAAGTCCAATACTCTTTGTGGAGAGATCAGGATGTATCAGCTTCTCTTCCAGCATGAGATATTTAAGGGACAGATTTCTTCGCAGAACCGCCTTCCCTTCCAACACACCCTGCAGTCTATGCCTGCTAGTTTCAATTTCACTTACTGGACCTTGGATTCTCTCCTTCACTTTCTCTATCTCTTCCAGCCGCCTTTTCACAATGGTGCCATACCTCAAGTTCTTCCTGATGGCTGTCTGGCAGCTGGGGCAGACCTTCAGCTTGATGATATTTTCATCTTCATCCATGTAATAGTCGAAGCCTTGGACCTCAAATATGTGGCCACAATCCTCCAGCTCCACAAAGCGAGCATCTGGCTCATCCTCAAAGCCAAAAAAGATCTGAGTGATTTCATCCTGGTGACACACACGGCACTTTTTTGGGCAAGGTTCCCCACACAACCCAATGCAAGTATGACCACAGCGCAGTAGCTTAGTGCATGGTACATCGCAACGGGGCCTGTTGCATGGTTCAGAGCAAAGCTTGGTACACTGGTAGTGCTGACACCGCCACTCACATGGCTCCATGCATGGGATACAAATCTCTCCACATTTCTTTTTGCACCGACTGTGGATGCAGTGGTTCTGACAGGCTTGCTGGCATGGAGGGCATTCCCTGGTGCAAGGCTGCTGACACTTGTGGGAGCAGATCAGGAAGCGCTTACATGGGCTCTTGCAGTGCTCATGAAATCGCCCTTCAAAGCAGGTATGGCAGGAACCTGGGCACGCATGGCCACAATCCAGTGGGACAGGGCATTTGGTTTTGCATTTCACAGGCATCCCATGTTTCATCTCCACTGTGATCCAGCACTTCACCTGCTGGTTGTGGCCACATTTCAGTGTGACCATAACCATCTCAAGACACTGAACACTGCATTCCTGCCCACAGGACATGTTACATCTGTGCCCACATTTCAGATATTTCTGACAAGGCTCTTGACAGCAAAACTCACTCTCAGGAGTGGAGCAAGGGACCATCTGCTGGTGGCCACACTTTGGGATGGTTTTCAGCACTTTCACCATGCACTGTCCACAGCGCTCAAAGCACAACTGGGGGCAACGATGGCCATCTTTGCAGAGCACCTTTTGACAGGGCTTCATACACTGAAACTCTTTGTGCTCTAAGTCATAGGGGTGACATGCTCGAGTGCAGACGTGTCCACAATTCAGCCTGAATTCACAGGGGCGACTACAGCCCCCTTCAGGAACTCTGCAGAAGTCTGCTCCCTTGGACACCAGAGTCTTAGTGTCAGGATGGTTCTGACAGCAGAGCATCAGTGAGCGACCAATATGACCCTTCTCCCGCAGGGTGTGAATGATCTTGCTCCAGAGAGGCACCTTGCCAAGCATTCCCATATTCCCAATACAGTACAGCCCTTTCTTAGCTCTGGATAATGCTACGCAGATCCGGTTAGAAATCTGCAGGAACCCAGCTCTCTCTTCCTTATTACTCCGCACAAGTGACAGCAAGATAATGTCATTCTCCTCACCCTGATACTTATCCACCACATGAACCTTCACACCTGTGAAGATCTTGGCAGGCATGAGTTTACGCAGACAGAAGAGCTGCCCAGTGTAGGTGGTGAGGATGGTGATCTGGGAGGGCAAGTAGTCCTGACACAAGAAGTATTTGCACAGCTCCACCACAAACTGGGCCTCATGTGGATTCTGATGGCTTTTCCCTTCCTGGATCTCCTGTTCAGGGAAGTCATGCTCCACAAAGAAAAGGTTAGATAAGATCCCCTGAAAAGAAAAGAAGGAAAAACGTTACCATGGAAGAAACATTCTAACCTTCCAGCACTGCAACCCACTCTTTCATGCCTATGATGACCCACTTAGCAGTTCCTCTGTAGATGACTTGGATTCAGGGTGCAGGACCCTGGTCATTGCACACTTAAGGCAAATACCCCTCAGTCAGACCCCTCATAACGTACCTAGTAAGGGAGAGTTTGGGAGCTTGTTGGCCATACAGTGTCCCACTGGTACATCACTGACTATTCCAGGAATCCAGCAGCATGTAGAGGATTTGATTCCTTATCTTAATTAGAGTTCAACAACTACAATTTATTCTTTTGGTTACAAAAAGGAGTTTGTGCTAGTGGCATGTTCCCAGGCTACAAACGAGAAATCACGGCTCATTCATTCACACTACTCAGCGCGAATACTCGTGTATTTAAGGTTAGGTGGGAGAAATGGGTGATAAAATAGCCATGCACAGTGTTTATTTACTTGATACCTACTAGCCAGGGTGAAAAACACTTTCAGTATCCCACCCCCATGGGACCCTTAGTCACTTTTCTCTAACACATATATGCAATACTTGTAGTCCACGTAATACAGCTTTATATGTATGAGTTTGAGAGTTTGTTATTGGACTCTGAATAAGTGTATGTACTTCATTCTCCCATCACACTATTCTCCCCCTTTCATGGCACTTCAGAGACTGGCTATTTTAGATTCTTGTCTTCCATGACAATCTTTTTCTTTCTCAATTAGTCTTGCTTTCTCAATCCCATAATTCACACCATTCCTTTTATTTTTCAGTGTTTTGTTTGATCTTACCTTCCTCTTAACCCCCATTCTCTTTGACACAGCCACCGCAGTGTTTGGCCCCTTCGACACAAACCCTACCCATTGCAGAGAAGAAAGCAAGGGTTTCTCCTCTCTTCCATAGTAAGGGCTAGTAGTGTCAGAGTCCCTGTTGATCCCTGGCTCCCTCCTCCAATGAGGTGGAGAATGTAGCCCATGCACCTGTCTAAAGTTTCCATTCACCCTAGGTGAACATGCAAGTAGAATGTTCATTCCCTGACACTGAACAAAGAGGAACTGCCTATTAGTTGGGTTGCTCCTATCTCCCTAAGGGACAATCAGGCCATTTCAGCCAGAGACAAGCTTCTTCAGGAAAGATGGATATTCATGGATGTGGGCACAATTCTGTGGCTCTTTGAGTGCCTGAAGTTACAGTAACAGCTGCTTAATTAACTGCACTGGTTGAACATGTTTTTCCCATTAGACCAAAACCAGGATTCCATGTTAGTGTCCACAGATTAATAGAATTTAAGGCTAGAAGGGACCCTAGTCTGACCTCCTGCATAACACAGGCCAGAGAATTTTACTCAGTTAACTTCTGTATTGACCCCACTAATGTGTTTGACTAAATCATCTTCTAGAAAGGCATCCAGTCTTGAAGACATCATGAGATGAAGAATCCACCATTTTCCTTGGGAGTTTGTTCCAGTGGTTGATCACCCTTGGCTGTTAATAATTTGCGCCTTATTTCTAATTGGAATTTGTTTACCTTCAGCTTCCAGCCATTGGTATTTGTTGTGCATTTCTCCGCTAGATTAAAGAGCCCTTTCGTACCCAGTATTTTCTCTCCATGCAAATACTTAGCTCTTTGGGCAGGGACAATCTTTTTGTTCTGTGTTTGTACAGCGTCTAGCACAATGGGGCCCAGGTCCTTGACTATGGTGTAGGCACTAAGGTAATATAAACAACATCCATCCATCTTGTTTATAAGATAAGATAACTACTCCTACATCACCTGATTTCTTTATTTAAATTACCAATTTTTAATCAGCTAAACTTGATCAAAGAGACAGAATATGTGAATAAAACCCATAGAAGTGACTGGTTTGGATGATATAAGCAGAGGGTCATTCTACCCAGTAAGGGGGGTTGAGAGCACTGTTCCCTCTAAGCTGTGCGCGTGTGCGTGCACACACAGATCCTAAACCCCGCGCACATGGCGAAACATCGCGCGCACAAAAATTTGCACAGAAGAAATTTTTTATGCACACAGCCTGTCAAAAATTAGAGGGAACATAAACAGAAATTGCTTGGTGCCTTCTGCAAACTCACCTTGATGTTTTCATACTTGAGAACAGAGGGATGATTCTCCAGCTCCTGGTATATGTGAGGAGTGAGGAGCTGGGCAATCTCAGGGCGCATGCGGTGCTGGAATACAGAAACAAAAGTTAAAGGAGGGCTAGGGTTAGCAGTAGCCAACATAAATGGGCAAATTTCTCACATGATGGAATGAACTGAACCATCCCTCCATTTCTGCTTCATCAGGGAAGACAATGACCAAATACGAGACAATGGTGCCGCAGAAATGGAAACTAACCCTCCCTCTGTCATCAATTCCAATCCAACCAGATGGAAATGACCAAATGTATCTTCATGAAGATATGGGACTGTAAGTAAGTTTGTTGCTTTCAGTGCAGTTCCCAGTGGACAGGTTGTCCAGATCACAAAAGCCACCACCAGCATGACATCACTGTGACATTATATACCCCCTGTAACCCCCTGTACCCACATATTCACTACTGTTATATGATTATACGTATTGTACAAAGTATGCCTTGTGAGATACCATTTTAAAAGTCACAATCTGTTCAATGACAGGTTTCAGAGGAACAGCCGTGTTAGTCTGTATTCGCAAAAAGAAAAGGAGTACTTGTGGCACCTTAGAGACTAACCAATTTATTTGAGCATGAGCTTTCGTGAGCTACAGCTCACTTCATCAGATGTTTACCGTGGAAACTGCAGCAGACTTTATATACACACAGAGAATATGAAACAATACCTCCTCCCACCCCACTGTCCTGCTGGTAATAGCTTATCTAAAGTGATCAACAGGTGGGCCATTTCCAGCACAATATTAATGTTACAATGTATCTTCATTGTATATGAAATTTTGAGATGTTGCTATGTGTTTTGTGAGTCTGCTTCTCTCACCAGCTTCAGTTATGCAACAGGGAGAGAGCCCAAAAGCAGAAAGGCTGTATCAGAAGATGGAGTGCCTGTGTCTTGAACGGACACAGAAGCTGGTCTGCATGGATCTGACAGATCCCAGCGCTCTTCTCAGGGATTAAGCAAAACCTGTTTTTTTGTTTTGATTTTCAGATTGCTATGGGAGCAGGAATATAAGGCTGAGCTTCCTTTAGACTCCAAGACTCCAACCAGGTAAATTCCTATTGTGACACTACACCCCATATTTGTCATAGTAATATTATGATATGATAATGACATAATTATGATGCATTTTGTAAAAGATGGGTCATGTAAGGGGACATTGGAAAAGTTATGATTTGCTGTATATGATTATCCTATTTGTATGCATGTATCATTTTTGTATCTAAAGTTATGAATATGGACTACCTGGGTGACACCCACTAGGCAAAATGCTTCCAGCCTAAACAGCTGGTTGTGAAGGGCCTATTCAGAATAATGGGCCATTAAGAAAAACAATAGGCTTTAGGGAGAAGCTTATCCCCCACCTGGTGAGCCTTCCTAAGAATGCTCCGGACAGCCTGTAAGTAATGGCTGCTATGACTCTGCAAGGGCATGTGACCAGAGCACATGACTCTGGACTCAATTTTGAGTACCTGTATTTTTCTACAAACTGGGCTGGGAACTGTTTATGGAACAACGGGTTCCCGCCATATGCTAAGGCTATATAAAACACGGAGTGACATCATCTGTTGTTCTTCACTCTCCCACAACAACTCAACACCTAAGAAAAGCTCTGAAAAAAAAGGACTTGGAATGGAGGTGGGGATCCCAAGTTGCAAAGCAAGTGCAGCTTGTGCCTTGAGAATCTGCAAGCCTGCTTGTATCATCAGTTGGTCCCTACCAAATTCACAGTCCATTTTGGTCATAGATTTTAAAAATTGTAAATTTCATTATTTCAGATATTTAATCTGAAATTTCATGGTGTTGTAACTGTCGGGTCCAGACCCAACTCCGAGGCAGCAGCACAGAAGTAAGGGTGGCATGGTATGGGATTGCCACCCTTACTTCTGCGCTGCTGCTGCTGGTGAGACACCGCCTTCAGAGCTGGGCACCTGGCCAACAGCCACTGCTCTCCACCCACTAAGCTCTGAAGGCAGCGTAGAAGTAAAGATGGCAATACTGCAACCCCCCCAACAGTAATCTTGCAACTCCCCCCACAACCCTTTTTTGGGTTAGGACCCCCAGTTTGAGAAACATTGGTCTCCCCTGTGAAATCTGTATAGCATAGGGTAAAAATACACAAAAGACCAGATTTCACAGTCCATGATGCATTTTTCACAGCCATGAATTTGGTAGGGCCCTAATCGTTAGTCAGGGTGAGAAACTGCTAATTCATATCCAATCTTTCTAGTATTTTAGGCTTAGTTTGTGGTTTTGTTTACAGTGGAGTCGCATCTTATGCAGGGGTTAAGTTCTAAAGTCAGCGCATAAGGCGAAAATCGTGTATAGTCAAAATTACCCTTGAAAATCCCTTAAATCACCCATAAAGTAAAGTATACTGTACATGGTTTTGTGTATACAACCCTCTACAGTAATATGTATACTGTATACAGTAATGTACAGTATATAATAAAGAGCACATATGCAAAATATAATTTTCCAGGACTGTATTTTTAATTACAGGGGGTCATCAGGGCTTGATGTTGATCCAGGAGACGTTGGTGACTGAGAGCTTGGGTGACAGAGAGCGAGTCGTAGACGAAGTGGTTGGCTCTGATTCAGCTCGAGAAGTTGATTACGTAGGCTCATCTGCTGCTGGTTGTTTTTCCTTGAAAAACATGGTGATCAGCAACTGTCGCTGTTGTCTCTTGAGCTGCTCAAACATTTCTTGATATGGTCTCAAATCGTCCGTAATACTACGTGTGATTTTGAGGCTTCGTTCCATAGAGAGATCGAATTCAGAAATTAAATCATTCAAGTGTTTCGCTGCTTGAAACACTTCAGCAAATTGGGCTTGTCTTTCTGATTTTGAAGTGTAAGCGCAGTTCGGCATTTTTTTCCAGAAGAGCCCAGTCTCATCAGCATTAAAAACTTGTTCCGGAAGATAGCCCTTTTCTTCTATGATTTTCTTTAATTGTTCGGGGTAGGCTTTTGCTGCCTCTTCATTGGCAGATGCAGCTTCACCAGTAGTCTGCACGTTTTTGAGGTTGAAGTGGTTCCTAAAACTGTTAAGCCAACCTTGGCTGGCTTTGAACTCCTTCTCATCAGAAGGCTGTCCTCCTTCGGCGGGAGATTTGAACGCATAGAGGCTAAGAGCCTTTTCTCGCAATGTGTTGCCATCGATAGGCACACATTTACAGTTCATGTCTGTAATGAACTTTTCAGTCTTCACTAAAGTCTTAACTCGCACCTGGCTCGTCATCTTAGCAGTTATTGGAGCACTTGATGCCATGGCTTGACAAATTTCTTTCTCGAATCTTGATGGCACGGATGCTAGATTCATTGCGGCCATATTTACGCGCCACATTGGAGACCGACATATCATCTCTCAATAAGTCCAACACAGCCAGTTTTTCCTCCAACGTTGGAACAGATCGCTGTTTCTTCAGTTGAGCACCAGATGAAGTAGTTGGCTTGCGTTTAGGGGCCATTTTGTACAAAAAATATGTACAGTATCTTTAAACACTAGAATCACACTCAACGCGGCGAGATGCTCACACTATGAGAGGCACGTGGGAACTGACACAGACTGCGGGAACAGCAGATTCACATGTCCCATCTCACGCTCACTCCGGGGCATATGCTCATTGATGGAATGGTGGGCGGAATCGCCCAAACTATTTACAGGTATCTTGTTATTTTTCTTTTTTTTTTTGCCGAGCATGTATAGTTGAATTTGTGTAAGTTAAATGCGCGGATGATGCGACTCATCTGTATTTGCTAGGTAATCTGCTTTGATCTGTTTGCTATCACTTAAAATCTATCTTTTTGTAGTTAATAAACTTGTTTTATGTTTTAACCTAAACCGGTGTGCCTTTAAATGAAGTGTCTGGGGAAACATCTCAGTTTGGTTACCACAAGTGTGCATATTCCTCTCACCATGGGGGGGCAGCAGCGCAATAATGAACTAACACTGTACAGATCCCTGTGTGGTGCAAGACGGTATAATTTTGGGTTTATACTATAGAGGGGGGAACAGGGAAATTGGCCGTTGTCTGCTGTTTGCAGTCAGGTAACCCAGTTCGGATGAGTGGTGCCACCTGCTGTAATGTTAGGTGATAACAGGGCCTGGGTGAGGCTGGTTGTGTCCCCAGCCCAGCTGCGTGTCTTAGAGGAGCGCAGCGGTTCCCACAGTTCCCAGATTGCACTCCGGGGTAACAACCTGTCACACCTATATAATGGAAAATGAGTACAGCAAGCGGAGATTCTAGAGCTGCTCCTCACCTGATAATTCAAGCGGACAAAGGGGAAGCCGACTTTCACCAGCCGCTCAAAGAGAGACATCTCCAGGTTGAAGTTCTTGGCCAGGTCATACACATTAGCACTAGGCCGCAACTGGAAATGAAAGTGTTAGAGTCCAGCTGTTATGAGTTCTCCCTCCCATCCATCTGCAACGCTTTCCTCTCTCCACCACTGGAAGAGCAGCAACAGGGTTTTTGAAGCAATGCCAAGTATTCGGGCCAGCTCAGCTACAACGAATCAGGCTTAGAAGTAAGTGAGGTTAAGTTACTGCCAGAGCTGCACAAGAGTTTTGTCCCCGGAAGCACATTGGGGACTAAGGGGAGGCAGGGCCAGTGACTGCCACTGTGGATTTAGCTATATGGCAGGGGGAGGATGATAAACCTGTGGGACCCTCCTGCTTGGCATTTTGCTGTGCCCTATCTCTGTCTCTGTACAGTGGAGCAGGCCCCACATGGACACGTTACCTGCTGGTGGTCTCCAATGAGGATGAGGTGCTGACAGGCTTTGCTCAGAGTGGTGATGGTGTGAGCCTCCAGCACCTCTGCTGCTTCTTCCACTATGACAATTCGAGGCTCCACTTTCTGTAGGATCTGACGGTATTTAGCAGCACCTGGTGGGAAAGAGAAAGGCACCCTCAACAGAGCACAACTTCCCCTACAGGCAGCAAGCTAGTGCCCAGGAACTCCAAGGCAGATATTTTAAGGGAGGGAGAGAACCTCCCCAGGTCTCAGTTCCCAGGAAGACACAAGGGGTTCTCTCCCACGCATCGCACATTCCAAGACTCATCCCCAAAGGGGCTTTGTAGCTGGCATCTTGGCCTATGCCCAGGAGGGCTCCTAAGGGTACAGGGAGTAGGTGGTGTGACCCAAAGACCTCTTGATGCTAACGGGCATAGAGATGCATAAAGGTTACAGAAGTCCCCTGGGTCTGGCATCTACATATTAGTTCACCAAAGAGTGTCATGTGAAGTCTCTACTGCCAGCCTGTGTTGCACTGGTTGTCATAATCTTTGCTAAATGTATCTGCAGATAATATATAAAGGGGTGTGTGTGTGTTTGTGAGAGAGAGAGAGAGAGAGAGAAATTATGGTTTTAAAGCAGTGACGTGCCTTAAGACAGGTTCTACCAGACAGGAAGTAGGAGACACTTATCTCCCCAGCTGGCCATTGTATACTGGTAGTGGTAGATTAACGCTTGGAGCCCCCAGAAAAATCTCATGATGCCAGGACAGGATGATTTAGCTGCTGCACCCTCTGCTCTGCTGGCTGTGCTCGGAGCAAGGATTCTTGGATGCACCAGTTTGGAGGGGTGGGGGGGGGAGTGGTCAGCCACTGAGTGCAGCTGGAGGGAGCAGCAGCAGCCGTCACCTCTTCCTTTCCTGTGTGTTGTTTTCTTCGCTGCTGCCCATGGCTTCTTGCCACTGCTGGTGACAGGCTCCCCCAGTATCCTCCTGCACCTGGCCGGGCAGCCAGAGATAGGTGGCGAAGGAAGATAGGGAACACCATCTCCTGCTGCATCTCCTCCAGCCCCAAGCTGCACAGGAATGCCCACTCCTGGCTGAAGTCCTACTGCCCGAAACCCAAGCTGAGCCGCAAGGACACGGGCTGCAACCTGCAGCACATCAGTGACCAGAAGAACATAGATGGGGGGAGAGGGGCGCCACCAGGATAGGGAGCTCCCCGCGGCTAGGGGAGCCAGGGAAATCCCCGCCACCTCAACCCACAGCGGCAGCTCCCAGGGAAATGCAACAGGGAGCCAAAGGTGGGGGGA